TCCCCACCCCCTTTCATGCAGACTTTTACTATGTTCGCGAACGAACCGTACCCATCATCCAAAGAGTCCCATCGATCCGTAATTGGAGTTGAAATCGTCAACTCCCGGACATTACACCACGAGTGGCGTAGGCAATTGACAAATGCAAAGGGGACCTCGGCCTTATTGATTTCCATTTGGACCATCACATCACTCTGGTAACTCCCACTCGGCCCTTTGACGACCAGCTCCTCCAGCCACCTGCAGCTGTTGGCTATCATGACCCCTGAATCCACTGACCCTCGCCCCAAACCCCAAATAGGGTCCTCCTTCGTGTAGGTCAAGGCGAGGAACTTGACCGATTTGGGGACTTGGTGGAAAAGACGGTAAAGACCCGCCCCTGCCGCCAAGAACAACACCCTGCCATCCACCGTCAAATCCAGCCGTAAAAGGCCGCCCAGAGCCAGGTGAAGTATGCGAAGAGACACTGTCACACTGTTCGCCACAACCCCGTCTACGCTCAACCCTCTCAGACCCTCCAGTTTCAGCGCATGGAACTGTAGTTCCCTTCTGTCTCCTGCGTGAGGAAAAAATGATTCGTCGATGCGGCACCGCACCAGATTCGCCCAGATTGTTCGTGGGAGCGCAACCGCCCACTCGAGGAACTCACCTCCAAGTCGGACATCGTACAACGAGAGGGTGGAGATCTTGTCGCAATCAACGAGTACGCTGGAAAAAAGTTTGCCAGTATCGAAATTTGTCGCGAGCGCACTAGAAAGTTCACCCGTATGAGGACGGCCCACGACGACGTGTCGAACCTTCCCCTTCTCCTCCAACTCGAGTTCTACGCCGGGTTCGGAAAATTGGACGACGCTCCCCAAGACGTCTAGCGAAACTTGATGAAATTGTCGGCTTGTCAAGCTGAAATGCAAGACGCCATCGTCCCTCATCTCCTCTGGGTCTCTGGCCCCACCGTATGCTAAATTGAAAATTTCGAGCAATATTTCACTTGGTATGTCTATCGTGCGCTGTGAGTACCAAATACATGAGAGTTGTCTCGCTTGATCTTACCAGGCATGGGCGGGAGATACGTCTTGTGAGAACCCAAATCCACCCAGCCCTACTTATCACCATTCAAATTAATTATACCGAATTTGACTTGAATCCGATGCGCTTCCAGCGACCATCACACTTGACGTCTACCCTACGATCATCGATCCCATACCAAGCGTCCGTTGAGCCAGAACTGGGTTAGCTCGGTCCTTTCCTTATTCTCTTCTATTTTTGCCTTCATCAACACTGGATCCACACTTTTTACACCCAACTCGTTGAATCTCATCCGTTTGATCGTCGAAAAAGGAAAAACCAGGTTCTCCACCTGCAACACCAATGTCAGCCCCGATTCACGCACAAACACCGTGCTCACCATCTCCTCGCTGTTGACCCAATCCACCACGAGCTCTGTAAGAACTGTGAATTGCCGTAATAAGCTCTGAAGTCTTCCTGGCTCTCCAACGTCCACCCGGACCCTAACTGTGCGGACACCCAGCAAACCATAGTCCAGTGCGCGTACTGAGATCGTGATCGGAGTGGAAATTGTCAACTCCCCGATTTCGCACTCATCCGCACTGATCATCGAGAGGAACGACAGAGGACCGGTCGCTTTGGCAATCGGAATACTGATCTTCGTCTCACCATCGTAGTGCAAGTCGAAAGACCTCAACCCAAGCCACTTCAATTGGCCACAACTCTGTATCATCTCCACCGCCACATATGTCATCGCGTAAGCCACATAGTCGTAGTACAACCCTCCAGCGACATTCATCGAGAGGTATTCAATCGAGCGGGGTAGGAAAAACTCTTCGGGCTGATCTTGAGTGCCCCAAGAAGAATCCAACGCCGCATCAATGTCCAGCGCAGCCCGCTCTAGGTCGACCGAACAAAGCTGGAGGAAACTCATGTTGGTGAGAGTGGAGCTGTGGCAATAAGATGTCACGTTCTGTAGAGATACCGAAGAAAACTGCAGTTTCAGCCTTGACTCTTTTGGGGGAAAGAACGTCGCATCCAGGTGGCAATTGTCGAGAAAAACATTGATGGGACGTCTCAGACCGGCCGACCATTCAAAGAAATGGCGGTCGAGATCGTTCTCACCCAACGAAAGAAAGGCGAGGTTCAAGGCAGGCGAGACCACGTCGACGAGGCGCTTCCACTCTCTCCCCCAGCTAAATCCCACTCGATCCAAGCTCCAACCACCAAAATTTGGGCTGTTAAATGAGCCGATGATGATGTGTCGAACTCTTGTTGGATCCCTCGGCGACGTCACTGCACCAGGGTGCTTCAAGTTGACCACCGTACCCAGCACCTCCTGCGATAATCGATGAAACTGACGCTCACAAGGCCAAAGCCCAGGATCCCAGCGGGGTCCAGCGAACGAGGATCTTCGCGGTAGTCGTACACCAGCCTTGCAATAGCCAGCAGTATTTCTTCAGGAATCCCTATCACGCATTGTCAGTCTTGGGCTACCCACATAGTTTTCTTTTGAGTCTTACCAGGCATTATCGCCGTTGCAGTTTGAGCGAATAGAAACCTCGCATGTCCAATATATAGCAAAGCCTGATAGGACAAATTTGACCCAAAATTGTGCCAAAACTCACGACAGGTCAAGTTTGGACAAACCTATTCTTTGCGCTTAGGCAATCGGGTCCTGTCACGAAAAATGTTTCTAATACTATCGATCCTTTACTGAACGACATCCAAAAGTTCCGTCATCGTCGAAAAGTTTTCCAACCGTCTCTCCAGCGCATTTCCCTTTGCCTTCATCATCTTCGCAAACCCTTTCGGGTCTTGCTCTTTGTATTCTTTCTCTGTCCTGCAACCATTCTCAACCCAACGAAATATCGCCCCGGCGCTATATTGGGTGAATGATGTGCGACAGTCCCCCTCGACGATAGGCGTGTTGGAGTGGGTGATACACGCCGACGGAATCATGATGGTGGACCCTGCAGGGAAGTCAATCACCAGCTCAAGTTCCCATAGGACCAACTGGCCACTACGAGTGGGATCGAAAGCCCCAATGCGGTGATTGAGCACCAACCGCAAGCCCAGTTAAGCGGGTCCCTATGTTTCCATGTCCACACGTTTCCTCCGAGATTGAACCCTGAGGCCATCCACACCGAGTTTTCAAAATTATCTGCGAGTCCTGTCTTGGCCCGTACGGTGTCTCGTACATTTTGATACTTCTCAAATAGTCGCGGCGCCCACGTTTTGAAGGCTTCTGTACACGGAGCGTCACTAACGAGGAACCGTGGTATTGAACGACGATCAACTCACGGTTGTGGTATCCGACGATCCTCCTCATATCCTTGTCCTTCATCACACCGTCCACAAATCCCTTCAGACCCTTCGGCTTCAACCTGACCGGGCGAGAGTTACCCATACCCATGGACACCCCCGCGTTGCAAGCAGGAAACGCCCCTCGCTTGTGGTCTTGGTCAGATCTGTACGCCTCAGCCATCTGGTGGTGGACCTGACTCGCGGCTTCATCGTAACTCTTGTCCCCCGGCTTCCCGCATAGCACAGATACGATTCGTTCTTTGCAGTCTGTGATTGGTCCAGGAGTCCTTTCAAAATGTCAACTCTGGACAGAAGGTACTACTCAAAAAGACTCACAGCCCGTTCCACTTGATATGAGTGAAACCCTTTTCCTTCACAAGACGCTCCGCGCTGTATCTTGCCTGTCTCTCCTCAACACTTCCCATCTCTTCCTCCGTTCCGCGGTTTCCTGTATGAGCGCCTTTGGCGACGCTAAAGTTGTCAGCGTTCGTGCCAACCGCAATCGGCTCGGCATGTTTCAGCACTCTGGCCAATGAAGCCTTGGGTTTTCCTGGATCAGCAGCCCTCTCCAACTTACGCCTCACCCTCCTTTTCTCGTTCTGCCGGGATCGTTTCCGCTTTCTATTTCCGTTAGACGAATCTACCGCAGACGAATGTCAGTAATAGCCCTATTCTGAACCACGCCCCAACGTACCTTGTCCTTCTATCAAACCATCCTTTTCTTCATCAGACGCACCCTCCTCCACCCCTCCTTCATCATTGTCCTCTTCTTCAAATGCATCGGATTCGTAGACATCCATGCCGTCTTCTTTAAGCGTTACCTCAGAGCCTTGCTCCGCCGCACGCCTTAAAAGAGCGGAAAAATCAATTGTCAGCGACCGAATTGGGTCGCCAATCTTTTGTTTTGTCTATCCAATACTTCAACCTATGATGCTTGATAAGTCAAACAGGTCACCCACGCTCCGCAGCCAGTAAGGCATCGTCTTGAACGATGCGAGAGAGAAGAAGAGGGCATGGTCATGTGACAGCGAATCAACGAAAGTGACCTGTTAGGTTAGGTTAGGTTAGGTTAGGGTTCGGGGTTCTCACGCGCGAAGCGCGTTTGGTTAGGGTTCGGGGTTGGGTTGGTTAGGGTTCGGGGTTGGGTTGTTAGGGTTCGGGGTTGGGTTGGTTAGGGGTTTGGTGGGGGTTTGGGGGCTTGCCCCCATGGTTAGAGGTTAGGGGTCGAGGATATCTTCATTTTTGAAGAAGTTAGAAATGGAGAAAATGTCATGTGATATTCTTACAAGTGATGACACATCACAGGTGCGGACTAACCGTCCCGAAAATAACCCGATGCCGAATGTCTACACTCTTCGTCTCTCACCACCACCTTCAACGATCTTGGAGGCACACAATCGGTTGGGACTCTAGCCCAACCTATTGTAGCACCATCTCAGGCATTCTGGACCTGGATGGTCGTGTTCCAAGATCGGACGAGGCTTTGGACTCACTTGGCGCTCGACTCTCTTCAGCGTCCGATTCCTACTTTGAGTCGATAATGGTACCGCCGAGTTTTCTTTCCACCAGGTGAGCATTCTCAGATTGGCTGGCCCTCTCATAAACCGACTCCCTCAGAAAGAATCAGTAACCTACCGCTCAGGTCACCAATAATAGCCAAGAAAAAAAAGGTTCGAATGTAATCAATAGGTCCACTGCGAGAATCGAACTCGCACCACTTGAGTATGTATAATCTCATGCAATTGAAACATATGGAAGTCAAGTGCTCTAACCATTGAGCTAAGTGAATGTTGTAGTGCCCCGATGCAGTTACAACTATCTTATTCAAAAAAACAGATAGTAGGATCCCTTTGCATTGTCCACTACGAGATTCGAACTCGCATCACTTGGGTGAGATCGACATCGACATGGAGACAAATAACCCAAGCGCTCTAACCATTGAGCTAAGTGAACATGCAAAGAAACCCTCTCCGATTCTACACAACCCACAATATGGTAAGCCTACCCTGCTGATCTTTTTCCTTTATACACAGCCCGACGTCTTCTTGTTATTGTAATGCAACTGAACATCAATGCTTCACATCCACACAAGTACTCACGTCAAGCTGTAAATCCTTGAAAACAAATCACACGCGAGATAGAGCGCCAAGTTTCGCGTTAGTCAGGATTTAGGCGTTGGGTTGGTTCGGGATCAGGTTAGAGCTTCGGCTTTATCTACATCGCCTTCAAGACAACCCCCTGATGAAGTTCTGGCTGAAAAAAGATGGTTGGTTCTTTTTAAGGTCCACTGTGGGATTCGAACCCGCATCGCTTGAGTACAACCTCTGAGATATGCCCACAAACCCCAAGTGCTCTAACCATTGAGCTAAGTGAACGTTGTAAGTTGGAACACCTTACAGCACAAACCGGTGTTCTGTGGTCTCACAAAATCAAAAAAAAACAGAAAGTGGGATTCCTTCGCATTGTCCACTGCGAGATTCGAACTCGCATCACTTGAGTATGATATCGACATGGAGACAAATAACCCAAGCGCTCTAACCATTGAGCTAAGTGAACATGCAATGAGTCCCTCTCCGAATGTCCAAACCCACAATATGACCGGCTTCGGTTAGGCCTCAAGGTTCGATTTTCCTAGTGCACGTATTATAAAACCATGCTGTTCTTTCCCTTGTATACACATATTCTACTTATACCCGCTCCACGTCTCCCTCTTATTGCAATGGCATTGAACGAGAATGCTTCGTATTCTCCATCCATCTCACACAAGCATTCCCATCATCAAGCTGTAAATCCTCGAAAAACGCCTATAAAATACAGGTCAAAGTTGTTAGTGGTCCAATTTTGACCAAGCACGATCCCCCGCAAGAACTGCACACTCTTCTGGTGAAATTTTGGCTCTATTTGACCGAGACAATGACGTCAGGCGCATCATGATGCGCATGACATCATCTCCTGGTCAGATGCCGAATGTTCGGCATCCTGCATGTGGCTGTGCCAACTTTCAATCTTCGTCTCTCACCACCACCTTCAACGATCTTGGAGGCACACAATCGGTTGGGACTCTAGCCCAACCTATTGTAGCACCATCTCAGGCATTCTGGACCTGGATGGTCGTGTTCCAAGATCGGACGAGGCTTTGGACTCACTTGGCGCTCGACTCTCTTCAGCGTCCGATTACTACTTTGAGGCGATATTGGAGTCTCGGTGAGTTTTACGCGCATTCGGTGACATTCCCTGACTGACCAATGATTTGACACTCACTAGCTCGATACCATCGCATCCTGTCCAAGTTCGCAGGGGATTATGGAAAAAGACCCTAGCTGCCCTACCCGTCGAAATCAAATCAAGCCCACGTCCAATAGGATGAAGGCTCCGTGACGATGAAATACTGACTTGTGACCATTCCTGTGCGTCATCTGCAACTCGGTCGCCATTTCTTACTCTGACACCCCAGTAGATTCGATGGTCGTCCAACTGCCATGTCCGAATCCCAGCTCAGGTTGAGCGGCGCAAACAGACCTCGTATCCTCTTCCTCTCATACCACGACCGCCCACGATTCCGGATGCACGAAACGGATTGGAACCCTTGACCACCCCATTGTAGCACCATATCTCGACTGGCCTCCTTTCTCCATCGGATCGGACAGTCCAGGAAGCTCCATCTTTTTTTCCACTCCCACCTTAAACCACGTCAGTGTGGGTCTCTCCATACAAACCATCGAAGCTCAAACAGACCCACGTCAAAGTCTCACCAATCAACGCCGGATGCCTCCGCCATTTTGTCAATTCATCCTGATCGACCCACGAATGAACGCCTGTCTAACTGTTTTTTCGCTCTCGCAGGTAAGCACAGACTTAGACTCTCCCTGTTCAAGGCCCGCACGTTAAACCATTCGTCGTTAGCCCTCAGCTCAAATGGTCCCATTGATCTCGTCTGTGATGCCATCCCATGCTCACCAACTCAAATCATCGAGTATAGTATGGCCATCACTACGTAGTCGCCTTACCACTATACTACTGTTCTCATTTCCGCTCCTCCCCCGTTGGCTTACCTTTCATAAACTGGGTTGTTATGCTCCTTTCACAAATTAGTATAGTCAAGCAATGTAATACCCTCTGATCAGAAAATCGTCACAGAAACCAACGGTACTTTTTTTTTACTGCGACAATCACCAGGCCACAAGTGCCCATCTCTATTCTAACCAAGCAAACATGCCCCGACGTAATGTACCACCCTACACGAATGATAGTGTGGTCCTCTTAGCTCAGTGGTAGAGCGCCAGACTTGTCTGGAGGAAATCGACACTTGCATCTGGAGCGCGCGAGTTCGATTCTCGCAGAGGACGCTTATAATGACAAATGACATCTTTTTTTTTCTTTGGACATCTAGACTTCGCTCGACACGTTTGAACCGCGAAGTTTCCATCTTACAAGTATAGCAGGGACCACGTTCTCCCAACGGCTGTAACAATAACAAAAGATGGCCTTCACACAGTACCGCAGTTTGTAAAACCAAGTACACCAGCGAAAAGTGGCCCAGTTTTGGGTCAAATTCCAGAATGTCTTATACATGTGCGTTGTATTTTATGTATACCTGGCTGCGATCCTATCCCCCACCCACCTGTAGACTGGTCGAGCACCGATATAAATACAACCCCTCCTACCTTTTCCAAAGTCTCGATTAAGTGACAAGCGCTACCTTGTGGAGACTATCCATCTTCCTAGCCAACTCTTATACATTTCGATCAAATACGAAATACCAGTCCGTGAAGATTCTCATGTCCAAAGAGTACTGGTCCATAATCTGTACATCACCCTAGCCAAGTACAAAACTCCCCTTCTTTCCACACATAACTTTGAGGCTTACCCCCACTCCAACGTTTGACCCACTCGCTCGCTGTCTCCTCTCTGTCTTCAATCTCATCATCGCTCACCGTTCCGTCCCCATCACTGTCCCCTGCGCCGACCATTTCATCACTATCGTCCCCCTCTTCGATGACATTGCCCTCTCCCTCATCTTCGCTGCTCCCCTCATCCCCGTCGCCCTCGCCATCATCGCTAATTGTCCCCTCCCTATCCACCCCTACTGTTCCCTCAGTGTTCTTCTTGCCACCCCCGACCTTCACCCTCTCCGTTTTTGGCCATAGGTCTTGCATTTCCACGTCCCCCTCGATGAGATCCTTTTCAATCGCCCTCTTCACTGCCTTTGCGGTGATGACCTTGTCCTCCCCCTCGTAGCCCAGCGTCTCGGCCTGCACCTTCTCATACACGAGCGTCTTCGCCTGCTGGCACAGATACCTTCTACTCATAGCCTTCACCCCAACACCCATATCAGAATCCGGGCCACCGTAGGTCAAGCGTACGTGGACGTCTAACCATCCCAACAGCTCGTCCATCCACACACACGCACGCTTCCTGAGCGCCGTCACTTCTGGAGGTACCACGTAGTGCTCCGCCCGCTTATAACCACCTTCCTCCCTATAGCGCCGGACATCAAGAACGCTGCTCAGCTTTATCAAATTGAACAGGCTCAGGAGATTTATAACACCGGTCAGAACCTTCAAGTTTGGAAGGTGAACGAGAAGATTTCCTGTTTTATATGCCATTAGTTCCACCTTTATCGACACATCAACAGATTGAAAATTAGGTTCCCCACCGTTGTCCTGTAGATCCTCGTTATTCAGTTTTTTGATATACGCCTTACTCTCCACGACAATTGAACGGTGCCAGAAATTGGCGATGCTGTACAAGCCCTCGAACGCATTGTAATCGACCGTGTTCGTGATCAAGGAAGACGCGACAAATTCGTGGTAGCAGCTGTAGGCAGTCCTGTCCATTGAAATGTGGGAGTAAAAGTGTCCCCCGTGGCAGACAGAGGTCTCAACCGTCAGCACAAAGTGCGGCGTGCAAGGTGGCATGATCCTACAAGATGTCAGTTTCCATGTTCGCGATTTTCCCTGAGCCCATACTCACAGCGTGTCCCCAGGCTCTAAAAACACACCGTACAACTTCCAGTTTTGGGAGTTATGCCCGTCGACCCGAAACTTCCGACCGAACATCTCGGTGCTCCCAAAGTCCCCTGGCTCTTCAGCCACCGCCACAACCCAGTATTTGGACCCCGTGTGAGGTCTCACCCAGGTCCCATGTCCTGCACAATCCACATGGAATGGGTGCACAGCGTGTGACGTTGCGAACAGTCCCCACGTCTTCCCACTTTTGAACATCCGAATTTCCCCAGTTGCGTCTGCCTCCTCCTGTGTGCAAATCCCCTCCGGTGGGTGCACCCGTTCAGCTGGAAGCGGGATCCCCAAGCAGTTTATGACCTTCGTCTTATTCCTCCCCGCATCTTGAACATCTCGAAGCGTGCCCAGTACATGAACATCCTTCGGCTCTCTCACCTTGCGAGAATGATCTATCAACCGAGCATTCAACCACCGTAGCTGTCAACGTATCATTCCTCTTACCGTGGAGCGTCCGGACCTTGTCCAAGTCACCCAGCAGTCGGTCTATATCCTCATCCTCAAAGAAACTGTACTTTTGGCGATTTCGCAAGATCCCTCGTATCACGAGGACCCCGTTGGCCGCATCCATGTACTCCAACTGGCGAGAAAGGATGCCCATGTGCTCCCAATCCTCCTCTCCAATTTCGCGAATCGGAAAATCTTTCCCCGGTTTCCAACCATTAACTACCCTACTATCTTTCTCCAACCGGCCATCAATCACTGCCCTTTCATGAATTTTGCCCAACACGTTGATAAGCTGAGAGTGAGCCAGTCGGTGCTAAAAAATCTCTCAGGGGTACGCTCTTGTAGCAAACATGAAAACGTACGTGTGACTTAAACTCGTACCTAACTACCGTGCGGTTCAAGCGAGGTAGGTGATAGACCTCACGAATCTTCAACTGATCCAGAGCTCTGTCAAAATCACCAGTCCAACGATGTCCGACAATCCATGCTTACCTCCCTTTCCAAGCTCGACACATAAGCTGGAATAGTGTACTCTCGATGGCTTGATGCTGTCAATATGATCTCATCACTGTCTTACCCCACTGCAAATATAATTTTGACTCACCATTTCTCCGTTTTTTCTTTCGAGAGGTCACTGGTTTTGTCGGTTTTTTCTCTCGATCGGTTACTGGCTTCGGCTCACTTGCTGAAGCATTACTCGATGTCCCCGATGCTGCTAACCGATTCGACCGGCGTAGACCTGTCACCGAGCTGCTCTCGTTGGACGACTTTGGAGTCGGGAAAGCTAAAGCGATAACCACAACGTTTATCGGTACGAAAAATACGCCGTCCAAAACAAACTCACCACCGTCTTCCACACCTTTCTTTTGTTTCTTAGGTTTAGGTCCGGGCGGTTTCGGCTTATCCTGCTTTGGATCTTTCCCATTCCCGTCTCCCGCTGGAGGATCCGGTGCTACCTCATCAATATCCCGCTTCCGCTTGATGCCGACGACAGATCCAGCTAAGCCTGGATCTTTTCCCTGTAACGGAACACCTGGCAGCGACCCGACACCCGAAGAATCACTCCCAGACGGTGCCTGTTCCCCTTCATTCCTGTCTTCGTCCACGTCCATGTTGTCGTCCCGCGCGCCCAATGCTGACTTTTCTGACGAGATCTCCTCTTCATCTCTGGGACGTGGTGTGAACAACGACGACATATCTGACGTGCTCCTATTGCGGTCCATGTCTGTTAAACCACTCGCACCTTGAGGCGGCACCACATCTGTACCCTGCGACCCTTCCCCTGGATGCAATCCCACCTCTAACGGATTCCCGCCGAGGTCCATGTTTTGGTCGAAGGAATTCCCATCCAACCCATCCCAGAAGAGATCCGACATGTTCCCTGTGTCCGGATAAACATCATAGAAACCATCGAAGAGTTGCCGTTCCATGCTGTTTTGTTCGGAAGACCCCGCCTCGTTGTCGAGATGACTACCAAGCCCGGGTTCAGCGCCTTGTCCGCGAGCTCGGAGGGATTCAGATTCCCCGTTGTCGTCCGGACGGGCTACCTGTGACTCCGATTTCTCCGTCCCACGTTCCCTCGAAGCGTCCAGACCTCCCGGCTGACCGAGGTGAGCGACATCCTTCTCTCCCATACCCATCTCTACATCCTCATCTTGTATTCCCCCACCTCCTTCTGGTACCACCGGAGCACCTTCGTTCTTATCAGCAGAGGCCAAACGTACAAGTCCAGATTCACCTTTTTCTTCTGCAAAAGCCGGTCCTCCACCCACACCTTCCTTGATCGCAGTGTTCTGTGATTCTTTGGTGGAACTTTCCTCCCGAGTGTCCACCCCCTTCCCTTGTTCCTGGCCTTTCCCCGCTGAACCCATCCCCACGTCATCCCCCTCAATATGTCCATTTCCCTCTCCCCCTATAGGACTCCCTGCACCTGTATCAGAAGAGCCTCTCCCGGAATCTTTCGCTTGCCCCGGTTCGCTGCCTTGATCCAGAGTCGACCCCTTCGCACTTCCACCTTCTTCGAGCTCGGCGTCCTTCGCTTCCTCGGTGGCAGAGTCTTTTGAAACGTCCAGATCTTTTGGCGGTCCCAGGTGAACGTCATCCTCCTCTGACGAACACATCTCTACGTCACCTTCCTGTACATGGCCACCTCCTGCTTGTCCTACAGGCGTACGTCCATTTTTATCGTCAGAGGCCGACCTGGACTTGACCACATCGCTCGATTCACCGTCTTCATCCGGAGAGGCCGTCCTTGAACCAACACCCTCCTCGATTTCAGCATCGTCGCTCTTTTTGGGGCCATTCTCTTTCGAACACTCTTGACCAGTAGGATTCTCGAGACCAGCTGCCGCCTTTCCCTCTACACCTTTGTCCACGATTTGGACACCTCCTGCTTGTCCTACAGGCGTACGTCCATCTTTATCGTCCGAGGCCGACCTGGACTTGACCACATGGCTTGATTCGCCGTCTTCATCGGGAGAGGCCGTCCTTGAACCAACACCCTCCTCGATTTCAGCATTGTCGCTCTTTTCGGGGCCATTCTCTTTCGAAAACTCTTGACTAGTCGGATGCTCGAGACCAGCTGCCGCCTTTCCCTCTACGCCTTTGTCCACGATTTGGACACCTTCCGCTCGTCCCACAGAAGCATGCCCGGAAGCGGTCACCTCGCTGTCTGGGGTTTCCAGCACCCTCCGGCCGTTATCGTCCTCCTCCCCCTCCTCATCCTCCTCGTCGTCCTCATCCTCCTCGTCGTCCTCCCCTCCCGTCCATATCCACTGACCATTCCGAAGCCTATGAGGAACCAACGGAATCTCATATTCCGTATAACTGTCCATCGAGGAACTCCGAAGGGTCCGACCAGTGTTAGGAGATCTACCAGG